CTCGTCGGGGGCAGCAGTTCCGGCAGCGCCCACCTTCTGCTCCTTGTAGATGCCCAGCTCCTTCTCCTTGGCGATGCGGGCTTCCTTCTCTGAAAGGCCAACAGCGCTGGTCAGAGAGGGCCGCCCCCCGCCCCCCCTTCCCCCGGGCGCCAGGGCAGGAGGCACTCACCCCTCTGCTCCCGCAGGTACTCGGCGTTCTCCCGCATCCACAGCTCGGCCTTCACTCGGGCTTCTGCCTCGTTCAGGATGTACTGGGGAGCACAGCGCGCCTGAGGGCTCGCTCACCTGGGCTGGGCCTCCCCCCAGGAGGTGCAGGGACACCTTTCCACGGCGCTCCCAGCCCTGGGTCAGGGGTCCCCAGGCCCGGAGAAGCCCAGCCCCCGGCAGGGCGCGCCTGGGAGGGCGCGGAGCACACTCACCCTGTCGATCTCCAGGTCGTCGATGCCGCTGAGGTCCAGCTCGCCGTCCCCAGAAGCGTCTTCTAGAGGGAAGCACAGCGGTCAGCAGGCTCCCGGCCCCACCCCTCCCCGTCCTCCCCGGGCTCTCGGACTCCGCTTCCTCCTCACCAGCAGCGGGGCTGGCGCTGCTCCTGCGTGTGCGTGTGCGTGCACAGGGAGAGGAGCTACGACCCCGACGCAGAGGGAGCAAGATCTGCCCCCCACGGGCTGCCGGGCCCTCTCCCCGCCTCTGCTGAGGCCCCTGCTATCAGCCCACAGCAGGCATCTGGGGCGCTCCCCACCGAGGCCCTGCGGCCCCCCTGGCACTCCAAGGCGCCCCTTGTTCTCAGCTCCGGCCAGAATGGCCTCTGCTCCAGGGTCCAGTGTCCCCGCTGCCTCAGGACCTCTGCCCCAGGCCTGCGGGACCTGCCCAGGGTCCATGCACACAGAGCCCCTTGGTGGGGCGACCTGGCAGATTTAACTGTCATGCCACCCCCCCTCCCCCAGGCCACCACTGCCATTGGGCAGGCCGCCCTGCCACACCTGCCACGCACATGGTGAACCTCAGGCAGCCAAACAGCTTTGCTGAGCAGTGCCCAGGGGTCGGACCCTCCACGGGGGAGTCAGGGCCTGGTCCCAGCAGAGGAGCAGGACCTGCCGTTGGACGTGACTTGAGGGAACCAAAGTCCCTTCCCGGGGCGGGAGCCCCTGTGCCTGCTCAGTGGGTCACTGTGGGGCTGGGGCTCAGCAGGCGATGTCTGTCTGACCATGGAGACCGTGCCCGCAGCCGGCGCGGCCCCACCAGCTTAGACAGGGCAGAGGATGGCACAGGGTGCCAGGCGCCGTCCCAGGGCCCTTGTGACATGTGGCCATGACTTCTCAGCTAAGATCTGCCCGCAGGACGCCTGTGCACGGTGCCTCTGGGTCACATGGGGGCAGGAGGGAGCCTGTGGCCACACCTCACAGAGGGCTCTGGCCAGGATCTGAGCCGCAGGCCAGCAGACAAGGGCCCCAGAGACAGTGATGCCCTGCTGGCATCGGGGTCACTGACTGCTCACAGCCTGCAAGGTGGCCGCAGTGCCCTCCAGCAAGCCCGCGC